AGGCAAACATAAAAATGTCACAAAATTAATAATCATATATATATTCATTGTAATATAAATATTTATTCCCTTTTTTCCTTTGCGAACATTAATCTCCACTTTAATCGTTGCCCACTTTATATTATTCTAATTTCTCTTTGTATTTTTTTATTGCATTAGTTTTTTGATAAAGTTTCTTGAAGCATAGCTTTTTCCCCTCTCAAACATAAAACCCAAAATTGGGTTAATTTTCACCATATGCATTCAACACCTTCATTGGTGGTTCAAGTTTAGTTTAAATATGTTAATATAAAGACCACTAAATTTTGTAAACAAGTCCATAGATGAGATGAATATATTCAAATTGTTAAGAATATATGTGATGGAAATAGAAGACCTCAAGAATTTTATAGTTATATAGAAAGAAAAATCAGATCAAGCAACAAAAAGGTTAATTTATTTTATTTTTTGTGTTTGCTTATTTGTGACAAAGATGTTTTTGTAACCCGAGATGTTAATTAAGTTGTACATTTAGACATTAAATATACCACAAGATTCATATGAATCTACATATATAATATTGACATTTTTTGAAATTTATTTAGCACCTAAATTTTTAAATCACATAAAAATATCATTAATATTAAAGTTTTAAATTGAAACATATATTTTTATGCATATGTTCTCAAGAGAATGGAATATTAATGTTTATGTAAGTAAATAGAAAAAAATTAGGTGCTCATCAAAGAAGAAACTAGGTTATGTCCAGAGAGGCCAATTGCCCTATCTGAAATTCGAGGTTTCTATATATAACTAATAATATTTAATATTTCCTTCTTTTGCAGTTTAGAAAATTTAGTAATTTTGCTCCTACAGAATATATATTTTTTCCCCATTACTTGAAAAAAATTTAGAAATTTAGTGATTTTGCCCGCCCTAAAATATAGTGATGTTTCGCCACTCTTCAGCCTAGGGCAATCAACCATTAGTCCTAATTTGATTACCAAACTAATTTAATATTAAGAGATCATGAAAATTCAACTCTTTAGAGAAAGGGGGTAACAACTACATAAAAACATATGAATAAGAAATATCCATTTATAACTCTTTTTAAGCCATAATTCATGAAAACTCCATACTACTCCATATATACTCTAGCACATCCTTCAGCAAAAGCTCAAGTTACATAATACCTTTCAAAGGCTTCACCAGATGAAAAAACAAAGCCCATCAGATTTATTCAAGCAGATGCAGTGATCTTTGTCCTCCCACCAGAGTCCTGAATTTTGGATCCCATGTGATGACCATTAGGCACCCTAAACCGTGATCTTGTTGATGCATTGAATTCAATTCTCTCATCTTCCAAAATTTGCCTATTCCGGCACTCCACACTACAAAATCCTTGGTCACCCCTGAATTAAAATCATTAAAATGAAAAAAATAAATTTTACATATTTTATAAGTGTAAATCATAAAAAGTTTAACAGATAATCAAAAAAACCATACCTATACATGTAAACCTCTTGTTGAAGGCTGAGCTCCTTGCTGCACAAATGGCAGAACTTGAGGAAATCTTCTGGTTTTCTGCAGAACTTCATGGATGACTTGATCACAACATTATTATTAGCTTCATGCTCATGCTTTGATATGAGGATCTGCAGGCCAACCAGGCCTTTACCAGCAGTTTTTCTTGAGAGAGTTCCTCCATTAATGACTTCATTTTCTATTTTCCCTTCCCCTTCTCCTTGCCCTTCCTCCTCCTCAAAGTGAAAGATGCTGCTGGTTCTTGGAAGCATTTCAGAAAAGGGGAAGAGCGATGGAAGGAAGAGCACTTCTCACTAAGTTACTGGATGATAGGAAGGGGGGATGAAGGGATTGATATTTAAAAGAAATTTGTGGCTGCTAAGGAACCATCTGTCTTCTCACATGTTGTGATGGAATCTGTATCGTGGTTTTTTACTTGGATCTATTGACCATTCGGGTAAATTGGACTATATATA